ATTATTTGTTGTCCATTGGTCTGAGGGTCTTGAATTGCTTGAATTGCTGCTTGGCTATCTGAGAAGATGACTGCATCTGTCTGTAGTGTTTCTGCCATGAATAAAGCTGTTTGAATCCCCTTGAGCTCTGTCAGATAAACCATGGCTCTGATTGCACTTCTCAAGTATATCTTTTCTGTGAAGTTAAGATTCTCTAGCACTACTGAGGCATCTATCTTGTTGTTGATTACACTTCCATCTGTGTATATCCTCAGCTTTGTTTCTGTTTTTTGTTGATATCTGTCTTGACTTTTTCTGGCATCTTCTCTGTCCTCAATGTGTATATCTGGTGGTGTTCATCAAGAGGGCACTATAAATGACTTTCTAATTTCCAGATTGTTAATATCTTCTCTTTCAAGTGTTTTTCAGCAGCAGCACTCATGTCTTTCCAGCAGTGTCCACTTTCTTGTTAGACTTTCTCAATCATGTGAGTATTCTCTCCAGGTTTCCTCTTTCTGAATCCTGTTTAGAATTTTTCATTGAGGTGTTGTTTTGAGTCTCAGATAAGTTTCTGCTGTTATTTTCTCCATGTACAGTCAAAGTGATGAAAGGTGTGCCTCTATATTCAGTGCTGATTTTGAGACAGTCTTGAATGAGTCTGTAATAATTTTAGCAGCTTTTCTTTGAACAGTCTCCAGCTTGTTTATTAGCAGTGCTCTATAGTTAGACATGCTCTCAATTGGCGTGAACCATGTCAATGCTGTAAAAGTCATTTGTGGTAGAATTATTGCTCTGTATATGCTTCTCAGCTCTTTATATTCTGTGCCTCAGGTGGATTCTGCTAGACTGATGAGAGCTTCTAATGTCTTGATCATTCTGGCTTCCAACTTTTCCACATGGTCCTTTCACTTGAGCTGATCATCTATTATAAGTTCCAGGATTCAGCAGCATCAGCTCAGAGTTATAGTGTGTTCTCTTATAGTCATGATCTGATGATTATTGAGTTCTTCAGATCTGTAGGAAAGGTGAATCAGACTGTATTTGATTGAGTTGAACCTTGAACCATGAGTTTTTTCCCACTTGTTACACCTCTTGTGTATCTTTTCCAGGGTTCTGCAGTTCACTTCAGCTGATTCACTTGCAGTCACTATATTCATATCATCAATCCAGTCTACAGCTGCTGTGTTGCTCTCTGTATCTTGACATTCTTCCATCAGGTCTGCATTGAAGAACAGATAAAGCATTGATAACATAGAAGATTCTTGTGGTATTTCTGATTCAACATTCCTCTCTTCTGAACTCTCTTCTGGTAGTTTTATTGAGATTCTTTGATTTGTTAGAAAGCTTTCAATTCATTTCACTACAACTATTGATATCTTTCTCTTTCTGAGATTGTGAGTAAGTCTTGGATGCAAGATGTAGTCAAAGATGCTGATTGCATTCAATGATAGTACAGATACTGTCTTAGATGTCATCTGCTCTTTAAGTGCTATCTCTATCTTTTCCAGTAATCAATGCAGTGCATGTTCAGTTGAGATGCCTTTCCTCCCTCCCAGATGTAATTCAGGAAGTAGCTCATACTTTTCCACCCAATATGATAGTCTTTTGATGATGATCTTTTTGAGTAGTTTGCCTGTTGTGTTGAGTAGAGCCACTGGTTGATATGATTTAGTCTGAATGTAGTCTTTCTTTTCTTGCTTTTTGAGTGCTACTGTTATGAATCTTTGAAAGTGATCTGGACAGTATTCTTGTTCCATGCAGGCATTAAACAGGTCTGTAAGAACTGATACTAGTTCTTCTTCTAGTATCTTGAGGACTAGGTTCAGAATTCCATCTGAATCTGATGCTTTCTTTGTGACTACTTTTTGAATAGTTTTCTGCACTTCTCTGACTGTAATTTCTGTCCATGCAATTGATTTCAGGTACTCTGCTCTGATTATATCATCTAGTTCTGCTATATCTGAGGGTGGGAAGAAAGATTTGCTGAGTAGGTCATACTTTTTCTCCAGTTCTGTTTCCAGTGAGTCTTGTTCATATCATAGAAATGATGTGTGTGCTGGCCTATACTCTCTATTTTTTGCCCACTTTGCCAGTTTTCAAAGACCTTGCATAGATTCTGTGACTTTCTGAACTTTTTCTCTGTGATTTTTTCTAAGCAGTTTTTGAATGAGATGTCTCTTGTAGTTTCTTGCTTCTCTATACTCTTCTCAAGTCTTTTGTGTTTGTGATTTCTGATGAATTTTTTGCAGCTGTCTTACTTTCATCTGAGCTTCTTTTATTTCTGAAGTCCAGTTTGGGATTGATTGAGGACTGATGCATGAGCTTGAGCAGTGTGTTTCAATTGCCATAGTGACTGTCTTGATTATGTCTTTTAGATAGTGATTGATTTCTGCTCTGTTCTGTGATTTTGTTGTCATTGACAGATTTCTTTTAACATTCTCTTTGACCTCTTTTTCTTTCATCCTATGCCATATTCTTGTTTTCCTAGGTTTGCTTTTGACTATTGATATGTTCAGAATTGTTGCTACTGGTAGATGGTCTGAGTCATGGTCTAGCTTCATGTCTGCTAGATCACAGCATACCACTCTTTCTTGCATCCAACTTGTTCTCAGAATCAGATCTAGTGTTGATGACTCTTCTCTTTCTTGACATGTTCTGGCTCCCACTGGTAGAAGTAGACTCAGCTGGTGGCTTGTGATCAGCTTGAGCAAGACCTCTGATCTCTCTGATGTTTTCCTTGTTCTGAATCCTCCTCACATCAGATGATGTAGATTGAAGTCTTCTAGAACAATGTGTTCAGCTTCTGATTCACTATTCAGTGCTTTTTACAGGTTCAATAGTGTGTCTTCTGCTTCTAGTGAGTGTGTTATCAGATTGTATATGTTGTGTATGCAAATTTGTTGATTCTGATCAGTTTTCTCTTGAAGTTTCAGAGTTACTAGATCTGGTGTGTGATATATGTATGTCCAGTTCTTAGCTATATTCTTATTTATGAAGAAACATACTCTAGTCTTCTCATTTTTCTGATATATCAGATTGAATCTGTTTTTAATTGAATGATATGTGGTTTTCTGAAATTTGTTTCTTCATGATTTTTGAATTGCTATGATGTCATACTTCAAAGCTGTTTGACTTGCAAGCAGTGATGCCATAACTTAATCTCAAGACTTGTTGACATTGTATTGTAGAATTGATAGAGTTGTACTATTCATCACAGATCATTAGTGTGTCTGTGTTCTGTATGAAGGTAGAGGTCTTTTGATCTTCATAATATTGACATTTGTTGTTGTTAACATTTCTGACTGATAGCACCAGTTGTTGATTGCTATTTAGCTCTTGTAGTATCTGTACAGCTGCATCTGTTTCTTCTTCTTCCTGGGTTTTCACTCTATGACTCTTTCTTGAGAACTGTTCCCTTTTCTGTCCTGAATCTGTTCTTATTCTCAGTTGAAGAATAGATCTGATGAGTGTTGCATTTGTAGTTATGTCTTTTTTTTGAGTCCATGGTCCACTGATGATACTCTGCCTGTGCTGTGCTGCTGCTTTCTGATGAGTAATAGATCTATTTCTTTTTCATTCCTTCAGTCTGGCCAGTTTCATCTTTCTCATCTCACACTGCACACTTCAGATGGGAAGTTTTCCTTCACAGTTCACACATTTCACTTCACTTCCCTTTCTTGATCTCAACTTGCACTTATTGATATTGTGGTTTTTTGCACAATATCTGCATGCTGGTTTTGTCTTGCAATGAGTTCTGATATGTCTGTACTTCTGACACTTGAAGCATTGTCTCAGCTTACAGATTCAGTCATAGTACTCACAGATAAACATTTGTGTTCTCATTGCTATTTCTTTGATGATTGCATTATCTGCATGTTCACTATTGTCAAATTTCATCATCAGAGTGAATGCTCTTTTGTCTCCTAGTTCTCTTTTCAGCCATTCTGTGTATATGATGTTTGTGGTTTCCAGTGTTGAATTGTTCCATCTTATCTTATCTTTGATCTCTTTGATGTTTGTGGCATCTATTGCTGTAGAGACTCCATGTATGAGAATTTCAAAGAATGTTGTTTGTAGCTGTGCTGTTTCTCTCAGTGCTTTCAGTCATTTCTTCTTGTGTATCTGCATCTTTCTTGTTGCATCTTGATCATTTGTGTATAGTGTGATGTCCCCACTAGGGTGTCACTTTACAGCAAGGATTTTCATTCCCTTTAGATTCTGATTCAGGCTTTCCTCCAGTGATTTGTTGACTCTGTCTTTAATGATTCCTTCAGTGGCATTTCATATTTCACTTTCTGGGATGGTGTTGCCTATTTTGATTAGGATTTCCCTCAGTCCACTTGAGGGCCTTGGCTGTAGAGGTGTCTGAAGAAGGTATGACTTTTGAGTGGCTTGAGTGTATGATAGTCCTGGGGTGCTAGTGGCTTTCTCCATTGAGGCTGTTAAGATGTTCTTGATATAGATGATGTTCTTTTTCATCTCCTTCTGAGCTTTTGCTGTGGCTTGGAGGTCTGTGGTCCATTCTGCCTGTGTTGGCTGTTTTTCAGTTTTCTTTATGTAGGCAGTAACACTTTCCATGAATGCTATCAGCATTTGCCATGAGGGGTTTCTTGCTTTTCCTAGCAGGTTGTTATGATATTCCTTAAATGCTTTGATATCTGCTTCAATTTGGATAGCATGGTCGTTAAGCTTATGTGGCTGGAAACCCACCTGCGGGGTGTTTTGGCTACTCACCATACTTCCTTGGTATTGGGCGATACCTAGATAGCTGACGAGTAGATTGAGCCACAGTATGAGTAAAATAGAGCGGTGGTTGTAGAGATATTTCAAAAATTCGGTTCCGACAGTATGAGGTTGTTTTTAGAAGTGGCCGAATAGTTAGGTGGTTGATTACGTGAGTTCTAACCATCCTAACTAAATATTTTCCTCCCGCGCCTCTCAATCTCTCACTAAAACAATTTCTCCAACAACTAGCTATACGTCTCGATCTTGCGAAGGACGCAGCTGCAGTCGTTACAACAATGGCCTCCACACAGCTGGCAAAGACTCCGCTTCCTGTCTACAAAACTGCCTTCCTGGAAACCTGTCTCTCTGCTGATGTCTTGAAATTTGGGGATTTCACATTGAAATCTGGTCGAAGTACTTACATGCCTTTTTCTAACATCCCCTAATCCATGTTATTGACGTATGATTCCAGAATCGCCTTACTTCTTCAATGCCGGTCTATTCCATACATCGTCACTCCTTTCCGCAATCTCTACAGCTTTTGCAAACACCATCATCTCTTTCCTCTCCTCCAACCCTTCGATTCCGAAACCCGATGTAATCTTCGGGTAAGCGCATGATTCCTGCTCGATATCGAATGACATAATAATGTCACTAACCGGAAATATTTCCAAGCCCTGCTTACAAGGGGATCCCCTTTGCATGCTCAACTCTACTTGAACTAAACCGCATTGACCCTGACACTTGGTCGTCCGTCTCCTACAGCTTTAATCGGAAAGAAGTCAAAGACCATGGAGAAGGGGGAAATATCGTGGGTGCTCCGCTAAAGGGGAAAAACGTCCTTGTTATTGATGATGTGATCACGGCCGGCACTGCAATGCGAGAAACGTTAAAGCTGGTAGACATGGAAGGTGGAAAGGTAGTGGGTTTTGTAGTTGCCCTCAACCGGCAGGAGAAAATGCCGGGATCAAAAGATGGGGAAGATGATGGAGAACCCAGGATGAGTGCTATGGGCCAAGTTAAACAAGAATTCGGCGTCCCAACAGCAAGTATCGTCACGCTGCAGGATCTAATTACTTTAATGGAGGCCCAGGGGAAAAGGGAGGACATGGAGAAACTGGAGGATTATAGAAGGAGATATCGAGCTAGTGACTGAGGGCTGTTCCGAACTTTGTCCCAATGGCTCACTGATATTATGGCGCTGATACTGCTGATTTTATATTGTTGGGAGCATTTGCTCCTCTCCAGATAAATTCCCGATAAGAAAACTTCCAGGAAATTAAACATCAAGGGTAGTGCAGCATTTTGGTTTGTATCGATGTAAAGATCGATGCAATGCAGCACATCTCTAGAAATCAACGGAACAACAACCAGAGTCTCGCGATGAGAAACATATTTGGAGAGACAGCCGATGAGCCAGATTTCACTTTACCCACAACAATTACACGAATCTACTACAAGAGGTCAGCAGAATTCTCAGTATTGCCGCTTGTCATTGCACTCTTAGAACTTGAAACAGATGGGTGAACAACAAGGCGCTCTTTGCGGCACTACCGCATCAACCAAGTGCTCTGGCCAGCAGTTAGACATTGCTCCGGCCAACCCCGATTAACTTTTTTTCGAGGCTACCTGGGGCACGGCTGAGGCCATTATTATCGTCACTGAGAAAATTGTGCTACCATTCGCTTCGGGGTCACCAAACTAGTCCGAACTGGACAATGGCATCCAGCCAATTACAACATACCTAGCTATTCGGGAAAGGGTAGGTCCACAAATTAATTAGACGAAGAATCCCAGTGCTTTTCATGGAAGCATTGAGAGAAACCGTCTCCCATTTCCTACAAGAACTTTTCACCAAGAGGGATGCGATGGTAGTGGGTATGGTTTTAAAACTACGAAATCCCGAGTTCGGCCACGCTGGCGCAATAGAAAGGAATATCACTGAATCATTAAGTAGTATGTTCCAATACTATCATCACAAGATCAAGCACATGGGGTATTCAGAAATTGTGCGACCATATCTGCAAGCAAAAATTTTTTGCGGGAAAGGAATGCCATACCCTAAAGACGGTTGTCGTGAAATGTGAGAACCTCTTAAAGTACATCTCATCACTTCAGTAGTCTTACTACACCATATATTTTCTTTTTATCTTGTTGTCTAGAAAGTAGAAGTGATTGAAGTTTTACTGACTCAATCGAGTATTGACTCACTGGATCCTAAAAGATGATATCATTTGCATGTCAGTAGGATTCATGATATATACATATCTATCTATTTAATTATTTCTGAAACCAGAGTTTTTTAATTTCTGATAGCTTGAACATTCTATAAGCATTTTGTAAAGTATTGAAATAATGTTCATAAATGCAGGTTTATGATAAATATAATTTTTATAATCAGTCAAAATGAATCATATTCAAATCTTTCTTGGCTACATTCAAATGTCCTTGACAATAAATATTTTAGTCAGATTGTTATATAACTATAACGTAGGCTTTTCTTATATTATAATATATAATTACTCTGATAAGTGATTGAATCAATGCAAGTCAGCATAGCATCTGCAAAGATATTATACAAGCATGAATATCACCCTCTTTTGCCCATTAAAGATAATAAGTTTATAGTTTATCCTTAAAATAAATTCAATATCAAAAGAAAGGACTAGTAGAACAAAAGAAGGCCCATGTAGCTAGCCTCTTTAATCAAAGCATCATCTGTAGTAGCTTTCTGGCATGTTCTTTGGATGCCGCAAAGCTGAAATAAGCGGATCTCATACAATTTCTGTGCTTTATTTAATTGATCCGGCAAGATATGCAGACACTTTTTCACACTTTTAATGCCTTGACTGACATAGTTTCAAATTTGTATTTAGAATTCACAGTAACAAGGGCCATGGATGATAACAATCTGTTTTCAAATGCGTAACTAACAAGCCACCTTAAATTATTGTTATTATTATTATTATTATTATTATTATTCTAGCTAATTTTAATTTTAATTTAATTTATTTTACTTTTTATATATAAACTCATGTCAGAAAACGATGCCGCAGTAAATCCGCAGCCCTGCCGCATAAAACGCATAAAACGGAAGCGCCTCGCCAAAGTAACTAGTTAACTAGTTATCTCATACGAGGAAATGACATGACAATCATTAAATACATCTTGCAGCGTAGTACCACCGACAACGCTGCGCCTACATGTCGCGTGTGACATTAAAAGGTGGGTTATTCCAATCACCCGACCTTTGACGACGAACCTCCACGTTGTCATGCTTTTGCAAAAACTGGAGGTCTTGATGTAGTTTCTCTCAGGTTAACTAGTTACAGTTGAGAAGACAAAAATCAACAAATTGCTATCAAATTGGCAGCGGGAGTACGTAGGGGTGAATACCTCCCCTGGCCTTTGAAGTGGTTAGGGTTAATAAAAGGGAAAAAAGAAAGAAACCCTTTTTTTAAACAGTTGACGTTGTCTGTCCCCTATTGATGCCGCTGCTAACTGCGGTAACTATCTAAAGAATAAGAACCGACCCGAATGGGAAATCTACCCAGTATCCAGAGGTCATTAGAGTTATTTAAAACACCAGTCAACTCCCAGAAACTCCGGAATGATTCATGGGTGACATCATTTGCCTTCTGGTAACTAACTAACTATGCTTAAAGAATCCACGGACGATGGAGATGGGTTGATCAGCTATGAAGGCCACATGGTTTAGCCCTAATATCCTGTCAAGGCGTAGTTGGCGTTTCCGCACAGATCTATTCGTTGCATCCGAAACGATGCTCGTAGCTCGTATTCCAGCTTTACAAACAGTTCACATTTTGTTCACATTTTGTTTAAAACATTGACGGGCAGCTGGATAGGTCAAACGGGTAAATCACTCAACTTGGTTATAAACCCACGCGGACATCTGTTAAACATCATGTGCTTGAACATACAAAGGATGCATACGCGTATCTGGAACTGAGAAGCTGAAAATATAACAATTGGCATCAGCGAAATATGTTCTTTTCGGCAGTGAAGCTGGCAGGTCATTGAGGTTCATATATAAAGACCTCGGGACAAATGCGTTATTACAAGACCGTCCACTAACTCATATATTAAAATCAATTACCTCTAACACCACCATGCATTTTTCTGTCCTGGCTCTGACTATAGCGTTGTACGCAAGTGGTGCCTGCTCAGTCCCAAGTCAGAAGATAAACGTCCAACCCACGGTGACCATAAGTTCAGGTCTTGTTGCTGGGATTGCCACCTCTCTTCCACCGTCCGAGAGGGTGGTTCATAAATTCCTTGGTATCCCATTCGGCAAGCCTCCTGTCCGTTTCAAGCCGCCCCAGCCAGCTGCACCGTGGCAATCTGTGTATGACGCTTCCACATACAGGCCCGCTTGTCTCCAACAGTTCAATTATCCGGAAGAAAAACGCAACCAGTCAATCAAATGGTTCAACACACCCGGCCCTCCCGCCGGAGAGAGCGAAGACTGTCTAAATCTCAACGTCTTTTCTCCTGCCTCGGCATCTGAAGGCTCCAAGGCGGTGCTTTTTTGGATACACGGAGGCTCTTTTCGCTTCGGGTCCGGGTCCCTGCCTCTCTATGACGGTTCGAGCTTTGCTGCAAACCAAGATGTTGTGGTAGTGACAGTTAACTATCGAACCAACGTGTTTGGCTTTCCCGGATCACCCGAGCTACCAGTGGGAGAGAGGAACTTAGGGTAAGTTTCATATTCGTCTCGAAAGGCAAAGGATTCTAACTGTGACGAACAGATTGCTCGATCAACGCCTCGCCCTCGATTGGGTGCATCGAAATATCGCTCCATTCGGCGGAAATCCAGAGAAAGTAACAATCGTAGGTGAGAGTGCAGGTGGAGGAAGCGTGGACGCCTTAGTTGGTGCTCCGCCAGATCCAATTCCCTTCCGCGCCGCAATCATGCAATCCGGCGAGTCATCAGTACGACTTCTCGTTAGCGACCCCGCTGCTTCGTGGAAAAAGTTAGCGGAAGCAACTGCTTGCCCTTCTGACATTGCCCTTGAATGCCTTCGCTTCTTCCCTGCCTCAAAGATTAAGGATATCAGTGAACGACTTCAGCTCGAATTCGGGCCGGTGCCAGATGGTGGCCTCACGTATGCAGACACACCACGGACAAACCGCCTTAACTCGGCTAAAAATGCATCACTTATTGCACGTGTACCAGTGCTCATAGGAAGCAACGCTGACGAAGGTCGCCCTACCGTATTGGGACAGAACGACACCGAAGCATATCTCCGTGCTTCCCTGCCCGGTCTCCCAGAAGCAGCTATCAAAAAGATCCTAGACGCATACCCTCTTGGTACACCAGGAATAGCCAATGAATTCGAACGCCTTGCTACCATACTCACCGAGCTGGTGATTCTATGTCCAGCATCGTTAATTACACAAGAGAGTGCTGTGGTGGGCATCGATACTTGGCGGTTTTATTTCAACGCGAGTTTTCCGAATACAGAACTGTTTGAAGGAAGCGGGGCATACCATACAGCAGAGATCAACCTTGTTTTTGGCACGTATCCACAGACAGGGAAGACGAAGTTCCAAGTAGATGTCAGTAATGGGATGCAGGAAGCGTGGGCAAGATTTGTGAAGGACCCGAACAATGGACTGCCGTGGCAAAAAGTGCCACAACTAGGGGTGTTCGGCGGTGGTGCCAGAGCTAGCATGGATGAGAAAGGAAAAAAAGTTTTGAGTGCTATAGATTCCCAGTTAGTGGATAGGAGATGTGCTCTGTATCAAGAGCTGTATAGGTTAAAAAGTGGCGGCGTGTAAATAGTAGCAGGATATATGTATGTACATACATGCTGGTAAGGGCTGGCTTTTGGCGTCGTGGTTTGGTTAATTTCACGATGGTTATAATTTTTCCTTGTCTTTCTTATGAAGCTAATTGATGTAATTACTTCCACGTTGACCACAGCTATTAATAAAGTATGTCTGGAAGATCAGACTTATTGTGATTAAAGCCAGAGAAGACCCGTCCAATGATGGTTTCCAGGGCATTACAGCTTGAGCCATTCATGCTGCAGTAGATCAGCGGCCGAGAGTCGAAAATCTGGATTAATTGTAAGCATCCCCTTCAGGAAATCAATGAAAATAGGAACTTCAGAATCGGGCATGTCGTCTGGCTTCAAAAAGGGCTTAGTTGGTCCATTTATAAGTAATTCAAAGGTCGTAGGTTTCAAATTCGGAATTCTTCGAAGATCTCCTAGGAGACGTCGGCATTAGCACAAGGAGGCCAACATCCCGACATTCTTACGCCCGAACTACTCAAAGAGATATACCATTTTCGCAGAAGAAGTCTGCTGTCCGAGTTCCCTTCTCGAGAAGTTCAGTGGGAAATGGGCCAAGGGCCTCGATTGTTCTTGCTAGACGGTCGTCATCCGCCGTCCAGGAACCATCCTCCGACGCTTTCCCAGAGAAAAGAATTATTCCTTGGATAAATTCCATGATCTATTGCCAAGGAATGAAAACCATAAGTAATCACAGAATAAGTACGTAATAACGCAGGCTTATGCAATACTAACGAGACATCCGAGGGTCCATATATCAACTTTGGTGTCCCAGGGAGCGCCTATTGTCACTTCAGGTGCTCTCAGAGCTGGTGATTGAATCAAATGTGTGAGATATTTGTGTCTCCAAGTTGCTAGGTGGTAGATCAGTCTATCTGAATTTGCGGGAAATGGGAAGTAAAAGGGTTAGGAAAAGATATCGGTTGCTAACCTAAACCAAAGTCGATTATTTTGATGCAAGGTTCTTTCATTTCAGCTGTAAGAGGCGTCTTGATAATTTCGCGGAGGGGCAATTCAGCGCCAGACTGAGTATCTGTCCGTGGGGAAACTTCTAACAGATGCCGTGAAATTGCCGTGTCTGAGTTTTCCAGTGCTACAAGTATGTTTTTTGGATGTATATCTGCTCACAGAGCACGTGTAAATATCAGCCTGCGGAAACAAGTAGAATATCTCATATGTCATTCATAGCCATACCGGTATGGATGATGTTGCATTCGTTATGAAGAAAGTCAAGTCCAAGTAAGAGCTGCCGTGCAATTGTTTTCACCACTCCCACAGGCAGTCTGCCATCTTCATATTTGGAGCATTGATGATACAAATGATGGCCTAGGACATCGAACACAAAGAAGGCATGGTCCCCATTTGGACCCGTATGTATGAATTGGTCCAGAGCACGTATTACGAAATAGCGGCCTGTGTGCTTGCTTCGTTTAGAGATGTCCGTGATTTTAGAAAGAATATCTCGCTCAGATCCCCCGTAGCAATTGGCTCTAAGCGCTTTAATCGCCACATACCTCTGACTCCTGATGTATTCGTTAGTCTATGCAGTTAACAAGGACAATATTAACTTCTTACTTGAAATCGCGGGCAAGCCAGACTGTGGAGTACTGGCCATAGCCGAGTTTCCTCAATATTCGGTATCTGCCAGCGTCAAAGGTATCTCCAAGTGAAACAGGATGGAAACCGCCTGCTCCGTAGGAGTTGGGCTCTTCGCCGACAGCATGAGAACTAAGCTGGTTTAATAGTATTTGTTGGTAACCTGAGCGAAACAACTGCGGGAAATGAGCTCCGGATGTTATGTATTGGGGCTTTATGCGACGCATTGTCTTTAAGATGAGGGACTAGTCAAAGAAAAACGGAATCTTTGATGATGTGAGGGACACAGAGGATGGTTGTAACACAAGCAGCTGTCGTAAATCTTCAAATTGGTCACCAACGCTGGCAGCTCAACGTCATAAATTTCCACGAGGCTTTCCACAAGGCCTTACTTATTGCTCCAGCTGTCATAATAAGTCAGGTTCCGGACTGTGCCTTACCACCAATAGACGATAATCCATTCCTTCATGTCTTTTCTCGCATTTATTGCTGCTAGTTGACTTAAGTTTCATTCACGTTCATGGAATCGTCACCAAGCCCGCTGTGTGGTGTTAGCAACTAAGGTCTCGCATACAAACGCAATGCTAACTATTAAAATCCGTCTGCTTTGGAGCTTTATTGCTGTGCACAGTCGATATGAAAACAACTTGCAGAGTTGTGACCTGCACTCATCAGATCTCACATAAATAAAGGTAATTAAACTCTATTTCATTCAACTAGTTCTCACTTTTAAACTCTAACTGAAAATCAGCATTTATTTATCAATCAGCATTAATTCTTATAAAATCTTAAAAAAAACTACTTTTATAACGCCAGTAAAAAAAATATTAAGTCTTATTTATTAATAATATTTCCATTTCTGTAGTAGAAGAAGATTTGATTTTTCTCAGTTACAAAATAATTCATAATTATATAAATAAAAGTTGTAATTTTACATTAAATATGAAAAGGCTTTTTATTATAGCTTAAACTGTATTAAACTTTAAATATTAATTGATTCTCAATATAACATTAATTCTCATTAAATAATCTATATAATCATTCTAAAAAGAAAGATTATTTACATTGTACAAAGTATTAACTATTAATCAAACTAGTCAATAATTCAATCAATTGATGAATTGAAAAATAATTAAGAAAGTAAAAATAGTTTCAAACTACAACACAGAAGTATTGTGTGAGACCAGGTATTTTAAGTGCACACGCATACCTGGGCATATGAGCTGCCATTTGCTCCATCGGACTGATAATTCAAACTGGAAAGCAACTACATTTCAGGATAAGGCGTATTTTCTTCTTCTTCTTTTTTTTTTTTTTTTTTTGGGGGGGGGGGGGGTTATAGGTCTTTCATCTTAGGATAGATAAAGCTAGCTCATGGAGGGCAATCATGCCATGCTTTCATCCAAGTATCTCCACCGTTGGTTGCACGCAGGTTGGCGGATTATATAAAAGCGGGCAGTTACAATCAACGGGCGGAACTAACTCGGAAAAATGTGCTGTTCCGGCTATCACCACGTGATATCACGATAAGCACCAGTCCCCGAGAAAGTGATAGCTCGGCGTATATAATATCCATTGGAACTGCTGACTCCCGCTTTTTACGGTCGGGCTTCCTGTACTGTTCTCCAAATGGCGCAGAGGAGCATATTGTAGCGGACCATTCTTGCCATGTCTATTATTATAGACGAAGTTGTTGCGTCAGGTACGCCCAATTCGCTGAAATCAAACTTCTTGGAGCTGGAACTAAAGCTGTGCAACCCCTTTCAGGACCGGTCCCGGAAACTCTTCACGCTCTCTTCACGAAAGGAGAGGCACCAGACATAATCCGAGAACATCCAGGGAAACGGCGCAAACTAGATGAAGCACAGCCTAGCTATGAGGACATCGCAGCCAATCTTCTATCCTCATACCTAACGGTGGCGCGTTTCGACTTGAAAATTGTAAGAGCTCGGATGAATATGTGTAATTGATTGGGCTATTGTGTCCATTTCGCAGACTGACTCTGCTCTTTCCATTCTAGAGATTTTCTTCTTCCTCACTTAGCAGCGGCTCTATCTCGTCAAAACGTGGGAGTGATAATCAGAGGAAAGTTCCTGTTTTTATCAAGCGAGCCCGCTTTGTTGGCACGTCCTTCGAGTCGAGTGCGCGACAATGCCACCTCCGTATTGCTACCAACCAGAGAGATATCGTACTTGACAAAACACTGGATTGTAGCACATGTCGAATTGACCTCGCAATACCGGGATTTCTCCCTTCAATTTATCGCTCTCGCTCAAAATTCCCGGTTGCATGTTATATGTCAACGTTGAGGAAGGCTGAGTCAGATGAGCTTTCATTTATACTTGAAACGAAGATCCTTTGGAAAGATTCCATAAAGTTTGAGAGAATAAGCAATGATGCCCTACTACCTTTTTCGCGTTATCTACCGCAAAACCCACAAGAACCGCCGGTTAAAACACAATTTTCGCATGGCCGGTCGATAAAAGAGTGTTCCTGGAGCCCTAGTGAGTTCTATGAGAGCGTTCATGTTCCCTTGAAAACTTTAGATTTACCGTCAAGCGCCCTATCGAACTCATTACAATGTCAACTTTTCCCTTTCCAGCGGAGAGCAGTCAGGTGGATGTTGGAGAGGGAAGGGATGGAAATTCTCCCAGATGGCGAAATACGGGTTCGGCCACCCTCTTTGAGTCCAGGTCTTCCAGATTCGTTTGAACAGATAAAAGATGCTGATGGTCGAACCTGCTATGCTAGCCATCTTTTTCGAATTTTAACGACAGATCTTAGGAATTGGATCCCTGTGGAACGGACCCTCAGGGGGGGTATCCTTGCTGAAGATATGGGCCTTGGTAAAACGGTAGAAATAATCGCATTAATTTGCATGAACAGGAGGCCTGCCCCACCTGGCGGATTTCCAGTTCTGCGACAATGGCCTACGCTAACAGAGTCTGGTGCCACCTTGATCGTCACTCCGCCCACTATACTTAAACAATGGCAACAAGAGATTTCATCGCATGCACCAAGTCTCCGCTGTATTTATTATGAAGGCCTCAACCGTACAAAAATGGGCAATGAGGAATTAGTGGTAGATCTGGCTTCGTGCGATGTTGTCCTCACGACTTATAACGTCCTGCAGAGAGAAGTTCATTTTGCTGAGGAACCTCCTAAACGCTCGTTGCGGCATAAAAAGAAAGTGTTGCCACGAAAATCTCCTCTCGTTCAGATTTCTTGGTGGCGAGTCTGTATAGATGAGGCTCAAATGATCGAAAGCAGAGTTACCAATGCAGCAAAAGTGGCTAGAATTATACCCAGACATAATGCATGGGCAGTTACCGGCACACCCCTACGAAAGGATATGGACGATGTGCTTGGACTATTGCTCTTTTTACATTATTACCCGTTATGCAATTCCTTGGATACATGGATCCGGTTATACGGGAATCACAAATCCCTTTTCAAGACAATCATTGGCCGGATTGTCTTGCGACATAACAAAACTATGGTTCGCGATGAATTGCATCTACCACCTCAGAAACGCATCGTCATCACTATCCCCTTCACAGCGGTTGAAGAGCAACATTACGATCAACTCTTTGAACAAATGTGTGATGAATGTGGTGTTGACAGATCAGGAGCTCCATCTACGGATGAATGGGACCCGGATTCAAAGTCCCTCATTGAAAAGATGAGCCATTGGTTGAGAAGGCTTCGTCAAGCATGCTTGCACCCGGAACTTGGTGGCGACGGTCGCAAAACCCTTGGCGCAAATAGTGGTCCTCTTCGCTCGGTTGCTGAGGTTCTCGAAGTGATGATTGACCAAAACGAAGCCCGAATCCGTACGGAAGAACGATCACTTCTTCTGTCTCAAATTCGCCGTGGCCAGCTCTTGGAGAATGCTGGTAGGCCAAGAGAAGCGTTGAATATATGGCAAAAGGCTTTGGTGTTGGCAGAGACTAATGTTCACGAGTCCCGAACTCAACTTGAAAATGAACGCAAGAAAGAGCAGAGTGCCAAGCTCAACGGGGTCCACAATATATCGGACGATGAAGACGATATTGACGAAGGAAAAGGAGAGAAGAATTCTGGTCTTGGGGCTTATCGCCTTCGCATTCGAAATGCCCTGGAAATTCAGCATATTTGCAAATTCTTCATTGCAAATGCGTACTTCCAGATCAAAACTAATACAGAGCTTACAAATCCGGATTCGGAAGAATTCATTGCCCTCGAAAAGCTCGAGGAAGAGAATTACGAGGCGGCAAAGCTCATTCGAAAAGATATGCTAGCCGAGATGGATCGTAGGGTTAATCGATATATCAAGCAGGTTCAAGTAAAGGTATATAACAACGACCTTGTACATATCCCTAAGATGTCTGTAAGGCTTGATATCAGTGGCATGGAAAGTCGACGGATACTCGACAAACTTGAGAATTTTTGTGACGCCGTCAATAACCTTACTCTTCAATACACTAAATGGCGCAATCACATCGTTAAACTACTTTTGAAACCGCTGATAGATGAAGATGACAATGCCAAACTGGAGGGCGATGAATACGAATCTTCCACAAAACACCAGGATGAAATGTATGTTTACATGGAGGCGTTGCAAACCCTGTTCGCTGACTATCATGACGCGCTCACCGGTCAAACGAACCTTCTAGTAGCAAATGAGGTCAAGCTAGGTTTGAATCGTGCACGGGATGGAAATGGACCAGCGCCTGAACTTTATATCTCTGTCATGAAAATGCGCGAGAATTTGAAAATCCCCAAAGATCTTGGTTCTCTGCGCGGGATTATTGGTGAATTGCGCAGCCTTATGGTCTCTATCGAATGGCAGGAAGCTCGAGGCAGTGCTCGAGCCCACGCTGAACTCGGTATACTTAACCGTATCCTACAGGACTCAAGTCAGACATCATCGGAACACTCAAAGATATCTTCAAATTTGGAGAAGGAGGTGGAGCTTTTCCGCAATTTACTAAACCATCGTCTAGAATACTACAGACAACTGCAACATATATCAGATACTGTCGCCCCTTACGACGAAGAAAGCAGGGGAAAGCCTCTTAACGTTGCTCTCTTTGACAGCAAGCTCGAGTTTGAACACAATATACAAGCGAAGATATCAGCATTCAAATCCAAATACCGTTATCTCATTCATTTGCGAGATGAGGCTGGGGCGGATGAGTCAACAAGGATTTGCATTATATGTCAATCAACTTTTGAAATTGGTAAATCCATCCCCATCTCTTCATGCATCGTGTGCTTCAGACTAAGTTTTCAATGCAGGTGTGTTGACTGTCTGCGGTCACAAATATTGCAAGGACTGTTTGCGATTCTGGTGGCGTCAACATCGAACTTGCCCGATGTGTAAGATACACTTAAAGTCAAACGACTTCCATCAAATCACATACAAACCTACGGAGTTGGTTGCACAGGAAGAAAAGTCCACCGATCACTTTGTACCTGACAACCTCACGAAAAATTCGATATATTCCGATATCAGTTCCGGTGTGCTGAAGGAAATTAGAAACATTGAGATCGGAGGTTCCTTCGGCACCAAAGTCGATAATCTGGCTCGTCATTTGATCTGGCTACGGCAACATGATCCGGGTGCGAAATCCATTGTATTTTCACAGTATAAACCTTTCCTGGGGATTCTTGCGCGTGCCTTTTCCCACTTCAAGATTGGATTTAGCAGCATTGATTATCATGATGGAACCGAGAGATTTAAACGCGACCCTTCTGTAAGAAACCACTTCTGACTTTCCTCTTACCTATCGTCCAATATATCTTCTGACTTCCTTTTCAGATTGAATGTTTTCTTCTTCATGCAAAAGCTCATTCTTCGGGTCTTAACCTTGTTAATGCCACTCATGTATTTCTTTGTGAGCCCCTGATCAATACCGCAATAGAGCTCCAAGCCATTGCGCGTGTCCATCGTATCGGACAACACCGCGAAACGACAGTTTGGATGTATCTCGTGTCTGATTCGGTCGAAGAGTCAATATATGATATTTCTGTCTCTCGTCGCCTAGATCACATCTCACGCAAGAGAAAGGAAGAGGAGAATGCTTATAACCACGTTTCAAGGATGGGTGAAGGAGAAGAGACTACAAGCGAATCTATGGAGACGGTAATTGAGGCGGCCAACTCTCTTGAGCTGCAGGATGCGAATCTGGGCAATTTAATGGCAGGGACTGCGGCTGAAGGGGAGAGGGTTCCAGAAGGCGATCTATGGCAATGCTTGTTTGCGAAGACTAGTAGAGGAAAGTCAACAGGGAATGGCGGGAATACTGAAGCCCTGCAGAACGAAGTCAACCGACTCTTGAGAGCTGAAGCTGCGGAAGGGAGAATTGAGGAAGCCGTTAATGGGGAGGTTCTAACCAATGGTGATACAAGTGCTGACTTGTGAAGACCGTTTTTTAACAAGACTGCTTCCCATTTCAAGCCATACAAAAAATACCTGGTAGATTTGTCATGAGCCAGCCCTACGATGGTGCAACCAACGGGCAGTTTCTTTATATATACATATATATATATATATACCTCTTCCATATATTACGATTTTGATGACATTGTGGATATGTTTTGTGCAAGTGGTGAATATGCCATAGTTTCATTTTCAAGTATTATGCTATACAAACGCTTCCCTTCCCTCGCTAGAAACTGATGACTTCGTCGGGTCCGGCGTTGTTCCTTGCTGACCAATCAAGACATCCAACTGGCTGCCGGAAATATGATATTCCTTTCCGCTCGGCCAATCACTTCGGCTTTCACTTCATCTCGAGAGGAACCAATACATATACAAGAGAAACCATCTTTGCTTTGTCCACGCCAACATGACTGCCTACCCCCAAAAAGTGGATTTATAACCTTCAGCTTCCCCTTCACTGACTGAACAGAGGCCTTTCTTTAATTCTCTTCTAATCTTCTAAATTTCAGAGCATTTTTCATTCTCACATAAAAGCCTCCGCCCTTTGATAATTAATCTTTTGGCCTGAACTTCCATCATGTCTAAGCCAGATGAAGCTCGGGAACTAAGTCTTATATCCAAAGTCGAGCTCAGAATTGCTCTTGCAGATAGTGATTCCAAGCTTCAATCTCTCCTCCAGACATACCTCGCTCCACTCCTCCTCAAACTAGCTTCTGAAAGTCTTGCAGTACGCAATAAAGTTATCGCCATCTGCCAACATATCAACACGAGAATCCAACCACCATCAATTACCCTTCCAGTTGCAGTGCTGCTGAAACAGTTTAAAGACGTTAAAACTCCGCTGGTGCGCCATTTTGATCTAATCTATATCAAACATGGACTTGATCGGATCACCGCTAATGAGCGACTTGAGCTTATCCCAGTTCTGATCCAGGGGATCGCTGAAATTGATGGTCCAGTGTCTGCTTCCTCGCAGGGTTCTATAGTATTCAATCTGCTATTGAGATTGTTACCGTTACTGAAGTTGCCTCAGAGGGGCAGTGAGGAGGATCTAGCGCTGAGGACGAAGCTAGGTATTTCCGACGCAGATGCTGCTTTCTTGGAGAAGTGGTTTGGTAAACTCTTGCTTTTGGTGCCTGGTGCAAAAGATGCTACGAGATGTCCCGCCCTTACTCCTTCAGAGTACAGGTTTGTAAATAGGGACGCGTCGCCTGATGAGACATGGAATCCTTCAGTTGCTGGCGGCCTTAATCTAACCGAGACAAAAGTTGCGGTTGCGAAGTTCTTGGCCAGCGGGGCTTTTACAGATTTTGAGCGCTTTACAGCAGCTGTTATAGCCTCCGCTGACCCGAATAGTCGACTTTCTGACGTTGGAGAAGATATACTAAAACGCTTTCAACCGGATCTGGAGAGAGCGGAGATTGTGGATGAGCTATTTGGCCTCTACTTTGGAACTAAGGGCCCGGAAGGTGCTCCTCCAGCAAGACCGGCCTTACAAGCTAAGATTCTTGGATTTCTAAGCAAATCAGTGAAGGCTACTACCGAACCGGAGCGGATTAATCGGCTTCTTGACTCAGGACTCTTGTCGAATGATGATACAGCGGCAAAAGGCCTCGAAGCATCGAAGCTCCGAAGCCAGATATTTACTTTCGTCACATGGATTGCCCGTATGGGCTCTGCTGCAGACTTAAACGTCGTTGCACCCCGCTCCATCGAGGGTTTAATGAACTTTGTTTCTTACCAGGGATGGCCCGACCCCAACACCAACACCAATGCGCAAAAGCTTAGTCCTTCAGAGCTTAGCCTTCGAAGTCTTGCGTACGAGACTATCGGCGTTCTCGCGCCGAAAATCCAACGGGCTTCACAGAATGATGAGGGGAAGGTTTTCGATCTCGTCCTTCTCCGATGGCTGTTTACGTCACTAAGTTCTGACTCTGCAAGCGGCCAGATTTTTGTGAGCATCGAGCAAGCCCTGGGAGGTATCTTGAACGCTATTGCAAGTAACGCGGATGAGTATCTTCAAAGCCAAATCCGTCCGCTTTTGATTCATTATATGAATGCGGAACCAGATACGCTAGACTCTGACACAGGATTCCATATTGTACGAAGTACGAGATTTGCTGCCGTGCGGTTTGCAAATCGATGTCTGCCTTATTGGGATGTGCAAGCACGGTGGATAGATTTGATGGCCATTGGCGGGGAGTCAGGAGGAAGATATGAAATTATAGAAGAGGGTCAGAAAGGTCTTGATCCGTACTGGTATAGGATGCTTAATCCTCCCAAGGATAGGAGCTGGGTAATGTCAACATCTCCAAATTCCGACATTGATCCTCGATATAGATTTCCTCAGTTTACGGAATTAGTACGCTCTCTCTTTGGGGATCCTGGCGATGACGTCGAAATGGATGATGGAGCCATTTCCATCCCCGCCAGATTTGCTGCCAACTATATCAATTCATTTGCCCCGGCTATTACATTTGTTCGCAATATCCTCCTTTCCGAATCACTCCAAGTTGCTGAGTCGCCCTTGAGCGTAGAGCCAGACTGGGAACACCGTCTTGACGCAATCATCTCCACAAAGGAAGATGCAAGGAAGAGTCTCAAAAAATATCTTATACAATGCGACAAGGAGGCGACTCTTCGGTTTTTGAAGGCCTCTCTCGCTGGCCTCCTCTGGAAGAATGGCCAAGGCTTAGGCCGCTGTGGAATCCATTTTGTTGAGGTCTGCAGTCTCGCATCGGATGAACTTCTTTCTCCGATTGCTAATCATGCCTCGTTGCTTAAAGATTCGATACTGTCGAATAACGTCGCATCGCAGGATGTAGCAGCCCAGGCATTTGGTATTTTAGCTTCTCACGTGGACTATCCAACATCACAGATTCAGCAGTTATTCGATTCATTTGCCCTTTTGATTGAGTCTTGGAGAGCTGCAGTTGGCCAGGGTGTAAATCATTGCAGAGGTGCATTAATCGGTCTAACCCAACTTCTGTCTCGCTTATCTTTTCGAGGGAGAACGGGGGTTATATCTGAAACACAGATCCCAAGATTTGTAGAGACTACCCTGGATATTTTGCACAATTCAAGAGATCTGGCGCTCAAAGAGGCTGCCCAAATTTCAATCGGACAGCTGAGTCTCTCATCCCTTTTGCAACCATTATCTTTTCCTGGAGACGATACCAATGAGGCCGCGAAGAAAGTTATAGATAAGATTCTAGAGGATGCAAAGAAGGAGAAAGGAACAGCAATTCTGAGTTTGGGGCGCCTGTCGCTAGTTCTTCCCAAAGACGAAACCGAATCCTCTCCGTTTAAACATTTGCTGAATTCCCTCTATGATCTTCATGAAGTCCGACGACCAGAAGTTCAATTTTCCGTCGGAGAAGCTTTGTGCACCGTTGCAGTTGGATGGTCGTCGAAAGCACTTATTACCGCTTTCGACGTAGATGCAGCTTGGCCAAATTCAGATATACCGTCACATATCCTTTCAGATATGCTTGATAAAATTATTATCGATTGTAAGGCGTCGAAACCGTCATTGAGGAAAGCATCTGTCATCTGGCTTCTCTGCTTGATCCAATACTGCGGACAGTTTTCGCAAGTACAAGACCGTCTGCGGAAATGCCAGGCTACTTTTGTATGGCTCTTGTCTGACCGAGATGAAATCGTTCAGGAGACAGGGTCCAGAGGCTTGAGTCTGGTATATGAGATGGGCAGCCAGGAGCTTAAAGATGACTTGGTTCGGGATCTGGTACGATCCTTTACCATGGAAGGCTCAAACCTCGGAGGCGGCAAAATTTCCTCTGATACAGAGCTGTTCGAACCCGGTGCGCTCCCTACAGGTGACGGATCAGTTACAACTTATAAGGATATCATTGGACTTGCATCCGAAGTCGGAGATCCAAGCCTCGTCTATCGATTTATGTCCCCTTGCTTCCAATAATGCGATCTGGTCAAGTCGTGCAGCGTTTGGCAGATTTGGACTCAGCAATGTTCTTTCTGATTCAAACTTCAACGGATACCTTGCGCAAAATCCTAAACTGTATCCCAAGCTATATCGATACAGATTCGACCCCAACACCAATGTGCAGCGATCAATGAACGATATTTGGAATGCTCTGGTTAAAGATTCTAATGTTGTGATCGACTCAAATTTCGATGCCATTATGGATGACCTGCTAAAAAGTATCATGACTGGTAGAGAGTGGAGGGTGCGGCAGGCAAGCTGTGCAGCAATCGCTGACCTAATTCAAGGACGGTCTGTTGAGAAGTACGAAAAATATCTTGGCGATATCCTTACCAAAGCGTTCAAAGTTCTGGACGATATCAAGGCGACAGTGCGCCAAGCTGCCCTAAGACTCTGCCAGGTTCTCACAAATATCGTTATTCGAGCTTTGGAGTCTAGTGATGCCGATTCGAAACGGGCAAGGGTCATGTTAAAGCATATTATTCCGTTTCTCCTCAGCCGTGAGGGTATGGAGTCCGCCGCAGAAGATGTACAAGTTTATGCCATAACAACATTAACGAAGATAATCAAGAAAAGCCCCAGAAAAACACTGCGCCCCTTCGTACCTCAAATATTAGAAAGATTTCTTGCATCGTTAAGTTCGCTCGAACCTCAAGCTGTCAATTACGTTCATCTCAACGCTGATAAGTATGGCTTGACCGGGCATGATATTGATAAGATGAGGCTATCAGCGATTCGTACATCTCCGATGATGGAAGCCATTGAACTCTATCTTCTCGAGTCACTCGATGAAGAAAGCATGAAGAAAGTGGCAGATAGGCTGGAAGATGTGCTACGATCAGCAATTGGCCTACCATCCAAAGTTGGCGTCAGCCGTGTACTAGCGATTCTCAGTTCGAAGGCTTTTCTATTTCGCCCACATGCGGACCGCTTTGTTCAACTGATGCGGAAATATGTTCTTGACCGGAACGATACCATTAGTGCTTCATACAGCTCTTCCTTGGGGTACCTCATGCGATTGGCAACAGATGAACAGGTGCTGAAAACTATTGACTGTGCAAAATCGTTATACTTTGATGCCGACGAGACATCTCACCGCGTCATCTCCGGGGAGATCTTACATTCTATTTCAAAGCTGGCAAATGACCGTATCGCAGCATTTTCGGCTGCCTTCCTCCCATTTATCTTTGTTGCTATGCATGATACGGACGAGCAGGTCAGGGATCTTTTTTCAAAAACGTGGAATGATAACGTCAGCGGATCACGCGCCGTATCACTCTATCTTCAGGAAATTCTGGTGATTATTTCTAGCCACCTCGACTCTCTGCGCTGGGCCATTAAGCACACTTCTGCCCTTGCCATTGCAAAGGTGACTTCAACACTAGACGACAACATTGATCTCGAAACCTCGGAGCGTATTTGGCCAATTATCGAAAAGGCCGTTTCAGGAAAGACTTGGGAAGGAAAGGAGACGGTACTGGAAGGGTTCGTTAAATTTTCGCGCAATTCAAAAGCTTCATTAGGCCAGCAGAGCGATATTCGTGATCAATCGAAGGTTAGTTGTATCGTTCATGGGTTCTCTTTATCCACCGTACATTCTAACCGCCGCTATGCAGGCTATTGTGGTAAGAGAGGCCCAGCGAAACAATCCTGCTTATAGGCCCCATGCACTCAAATCTCTTGGTGAATTTGCGAAAATTTGGAATGAGTTAGACCTCATGCCTGAAGCTATAAGAATTGTTTCCCAGGTGGTTGAGGATCTGGCCGACGATTCCAAAGAAAAAATGCAAGTAGACACGGGAAACGGTAGTGCTTCAAAGTGAGTATAGCATAGTGGACGAGCTGAGGCATTGTATATATGTATTTGCTCTTGATCTAATTCGTTTTCTAGGGTCGAGACACAAACACTTGCTGCGGGTGTAGAGTGCATTTTCAACTGCCTTAATCCCTCAATTCCTATTTCTGGTATGCTAGAATCAGACATTCACGAAAGGCTTGTCTTCGCTAATTTATGTGCAGCATTCACCCAATATCTATCTCAAATACCTCCGATTATCGGCAAGGCTGTTACATACGGTGGCAGGACTGTCTACAACGTTGAGTACGAGGGGCTCAATACGGTTTTCGGAAATCTCACGAACGCCATTTCAAATCCTGACTTTGAGATAGTTACTGGAGAGCCAAACAAAGGTCTTCAAACTGCATTGTTATCTCTAGCTGACCAACTCTTATTCCGTGATCTTGACCTGTGTGTGGAAAACACGAGGCATAGTCGTGCTCAGGCAGCTCTTGCATACATACAGGCATGCAATGGACTTAAAATTAAAGTTACCCAAGAACAATGCCAGCAGGTTCAAGGGTGGCTAGCAGTCGAACGATCCGTCCAGGTCCAGACTGTCCTGCGCCAAGCACTAGGGGAGATCTCGTAAAGATCTCCTTCAGGCATGTTAAATGCTGGAAATGGATTAGATTGCAGAGTGGGTCGAATTTGGCGGGTATTATAAGGAAAATGAAGGGAGAATGAAGCGAATCTCAACTCACCATTCCACAATTATCTAACTAAACTTCCTTATTTGGAAGAGCAGGATATCTTTCGACATGCAGTGCATGCAGCATCGACGGTGGACTTATATGATAGCATGGCTATTATTTCTTCTTCCCCTTGTACCTGGCATGCCACACATATGCAGACTGACCATGGCCCAAGGGCAGGTTAGTTTATCGTTTGTGCGAGCTCCCACTAAGATCTTTAGAGAGCGGAAGGAATATGAATAGGGCTGACATGCTAAACTAGTTGGATTGCCAGAAAACTCAGTGGCATAACTTTGAAGTTGCATTACATGGGAAGTAATTCGGCAAGCACCAGCCACACGGCGCTACATTTGCGTTACCCAAAAAAATGAAAAGTGGTATAGAGACCCCCCCCCGTACTTTATCAATGTCGGGGAGCAACTGTACGGCACACGTCATTTGTGTCATGGCGAGTGTGCACACGAAAGAAAAATATCCTCAGGATGTCAATTATTGTTCAATAGGAGCGCAAATTTATATTTCTGTAACTTGTTAAGCATGAACATTATCATGTTAAGCTTGCATGCTTGTATGTTTGCCTATTCCCACGGGGGTAATTGAGCAATGTGACTTCATGTACGAATATCGGTTTCCGTGAAATTATACTGCACGGCCAAACCAACAAGTTAAATTGGAGGGTTCAAAGCAAGGAAAGATCATCATAAATACTGGCAGCGTTCTTTTCCCCTCAACGCCAAAATGCATCACTGTCCAGACGTTATTGGTGTTTCTTGTGGAACAAGTTAGCTGCAGCCACGAACCATTTCGTTTCCACATTCAATTTATTCTCACGTGCCTCCTGCAACCTGATCCGAGGTTCAATCATACAAGGCAAAAGAAGATTGAAATTCGAAGCCAATATAATTGCAGAGCGGTATGAGCGGCAGGGAAGGTAACAATAGCCAACAAGCCATTCATGCAAGCCCGATGTTGCCCTATGCACATTGCACAATGGTGCAAGACAATCAAAGCTGCATACTGCGGGGACATTCTAGAAGGAATCCAGAAGCTTTTAGTGCAGATGACAAGATGCCATCTGGTCAATTCAGCCGATGAAAATAAGCATTATATTGGACAGATCTCTGCCAACGACGTCGGTCCGGTCGGGCTTGTTCGCAGTGAGAACACCGTCACACCTGGTATTCCGAGCGGGCTGTTTTGGCTGATGGCTTGGTGCTGACTGCCTGCGCTAGTCTATGCATCCCAGTCTATAAGATGGTCAAAGAATGGGAATTTTGTCAGCGGATGATCGGACACCCGTCGGCGATGACGCAAAACCCTCAAAAAGGCGGGCTAACTTTCTTTTTCTGCCACAAATTTTTGCTTATCCCTCCATCACCCCCACTCCAGATGCTTCGAATTTTTTCTAGGGCTACAGTAGAACAGCCCGTTCGACGATCCGGGGGACTCCATGGGCCATTGGATGGCTTGGATATTCCTGTCAGCTAAGGGCACGTCGGGAATCATAACGACGGACTGTTTCTTAGTATTATTATTCCGGAGATGTCACTAACACAGATCTCCCGGGTCTACAGGCAGGGTAGAAAGTTTCTGCGAGCATCAAGACATGCAGATAGATTTTTTTTTCCAACCTAATGCTCAGACCTATTGATAGCTCGTCCCTGGCATGATTTTTTTTTTTTTTTTTTTCTTTCTGTCCTTTTTTAACATCTCTGCTACGTTATGCTGCTTCTGGTACTGTGACTGTTTCTCATGCGGCTGGGACTTACAGGGAGCAGCTACGACATTGGTATAACACTGCCCATTCTCTCCAGAAATTAGTGTGCACAGGATGGGTGATGTTTTTACATTTATATCTTCCTATCTCTCTCTGCCTGATAACGCTGATGCAGTAGCTGCAGACCACTTCTCAAATCTTTTACTGAAGTCACAACAGAAGCCCCTTGCGTATTTTTATTTTATTTTCTTATTTCTTCTTTGATGATTATTTCTTTTTACGTTGTGAAACAAATTCTTGTTTCACTCTTCTCTTCCCCTTACTTGGTTGTTGTCAAAGCTTTCCACACTCATATACATCTGCAGGAGTTTTATCTTCAGTCGTTGGTGCGGTCAAACCCTTGCCCTCCAACCTACCCATATACAAATATACCCACTACTCTTCCAAGACATAAATCTCATAGATTTGCTCCATCGCTACAGAAATCCAAGAAGAACAGGTGATTCGATACGTCCTTTTCTGATAACCACCACCACCACCAAAAAAAAAAAAAAAAAGAAAAAAAGAAAAAAAAAGGGGGGGGGGCCGAGTGATATCAGGGTGATAAAATTGTGCCCTTTGCATTTCAGTGATATGCATATTGAATTTGTCATTTCATCCCTCTCACCATTCTCTCCCGGGGCTTCTCAGAGACGCTCCCTTTGCTAATTCTTCTTTGCTCTTTTTTGATCTTCTTCTAAACCTTACACTGAATTTTTTACTTCGATTACCCGATCTCGCTGGCGGGAAAGGAAATAAAGAAACAAAAGTGATAAAAAAAAGAGGGAATACCTAAGGCAAATAGTAGCATACATACATGAGAGCAAATTTTTCGATTCTGGCTTGTCATTATGCCAGATCGACGCACGAATCCTTCACCAAAGCACGCTGCACCCTTACCACTAATTGCACCAAAAGATAGTGCACCTATATCAACTGGTTCGGGGGAAGTATTGGAAAAGAGCGACTACCCGAAGGTGAAAATGCCTGTTCGTGTCCGATTGCCGCCCAGATCTAGGACTGGGTGCTGGTGAGTGACCTTTTCCTGGTCTATTATTGAACATGAGCTCAGGATCATCTTTCTCTGGAAATCCTTTTTTTTTTTCATTTCATTTTCATTTTCATTTTCACTTAGCGGGGTTTAGGGAATTTTACATACGTTTCTGACGCTGTGTGTTCGCTCCACTTAGGACGTGTAGGGTGAGTTATATTTCGTCATAGCAAAACTTGGGAAGCTGGTATTGCTGCTAACTACGCGCCTTGTATCACAAAGAGTCGCAAAGGTAAGTGTTTCTCAATCTCATTATAATTCCAATAGAAGCAGGTTACTGATTGCGTCTTCTAGTAAAATGCGACGAGGGACATCCTACTTGTGGTGTAAGTGGCTCAGCATGAAGAGACTGACGGTGTATAAAGCATCATCCTCATATTGAAACTTCATCTTAGCAATGCTCGAGGCTCGGACATGAATGCGATTATAGCCCAAGGCTATCCTTTAGGGATGATACGTTTAGAATCAAACAGCGCATGCCAGGTGTCTCCACTACTGGAAATGCAGTCTGGGATTGTATGTTATATGACATCTTCTAGCCCGCATGCTTTCCTTTTGAGCCAAATCACAGGGCTAAGTGCTAACTACTGATAGTAACATCACCGACCTTGACCGCAAGCAGCCCCAATCCATCAGCCGGAGGAGATAATTTACCTCCATTTGCCTCTCTGACTTCGGATTTGGAACGAGAGATGAAAGCAGAAGCATATTCCCCCGGAACTTATCATGTTGTTGTGAACCCCGAGAGTTTTTCTTCTTTGCCTGAATATTCCGACACTACAGATATTATATCTGTGTCTGGCTATCCCAGATCCGGGGATGATAATGGTGTCATGGACAGAGAGGGGAAGAGAACCATAAGACACAACAGGGGTAGTTCTACTCTAACAGAAAGAGGAGATCCAAATGTGGTCATTCTCTCAAAATTCGAAGACTCTATTCCAATTTCATCCCCCGGCCATTGGAGGACCAACACAAGGCCATCTCCCTCAACTTCCAGCATATGTAATTTCAAATTCCCAACCAAATTTGCTGATGAGATCCCTGTTCATGACCTCGTGGAATCATTTAACCACACATACATAGATACAACAGATCAGTACGGGGAAGACACGAGGCTACTTCTGCATTTTCGCAAGGTTGTCTGGAGCCATCTTGTGCAAAATGCTTCTCGTTGTGATCCTCCTCCCGGAGAAGTTCACAATGTTCCTGGATCCGACATCTTTGAGCGGGAAGCGGTCACGTTCCGTCCAGTAAGATAGTTGTGCCCCAAGCGATTTTGCTTTTTGACGTTCCTCAGCCAAAATTCTAACTTTTCTTTATAGTTATTCCACGCCATGATGGCCGTTTCTGCTCTGAGCCTTTCCCACCAAGAGCAAGGCCAGAGCATTGCCGCACTTCAACATTATCAGGAAACTCTCCCCTTCTTACAAAGTAGCATGCGATGCCATGAGGATCTTTCGTCGGATGGAGTATTTCTAACCCATTTCTTGCTACTGATTTACGAGGTAAATGCGCACTCATTCATGTCTGAAACTATTACTAAAGATAAATATCAGATTGCTGCAGCGGAACCGGGAGGGTCCAATCTCTGGTCCCACCATCTTGAACGGTTGTTACGAATCTTCCTTATGCGGCACGAGGTTTTTAAGACAGAAAAATTCCCCTTCGTTATTTGGTGGGTATGTTATATTGATTTATATGCTCTATTCAGCGGCACGGGAACTGGAGAATTTCTCAGGGCCGCTTTGAAAGCCGACATGCTTCCTTCTCCCAAATTCCATCTCTACCCCCTTGGCCGGGATGGGACGAGCATCATATATTCGGAGGAAGAAAATAGTCTCCCAGCAATTTTACAGCTTAACCATGATATCTTCGTCCTGACAGCGAGGTTGGGACTTCTAGCATCGGAGTGCCGGCCATCAAGTTCCTACGCAAATGTAGCAGCTATCAACAATTCTAACCCAAGTAGTTCTCATTGCTTCCCGCCGCACATGACTGGAAATAGAGATAAACGCCTTTTTCAAATCCAACAAGCCCTGCAGCACCTATGGCGTACTTCCAATGCAACTATCCTGGAGCAGCAGATGGATTTGTTACCCAGTCGATCAAAGGAATTACTTCAACATGTATGTTGATCCCAAATTCATTTCCACCCATGCCAAAAATATGTGGATACATTTAACACCCGCTCCAATAGTCCACAACCCTGTTCCATGCCACCTTCATCTATTCACACACAAGCATGTGGCCAAACCAATGTATTGAAAACGGAGGTGAACCGGCGCTCGAAATCTCCCAAAGAACCGCCGCCATCCTCCATGTCGCCACCCGCATCGTGCAGGCCGGCCGTTTCGATCTGCGTTTCATTGTTTTCCCATTGTTTATGGTGGGAGTGGCCTCCTCTTCTCCCTCACAGAAGATGTTGGTGCTGGATCTGCTTTCTAGCATCGAGGGAAACGAGTCCGTCGGCCGCAACGTGACAACCACGAGACATGTGCTGCAGATCGTGCATCAGCGACAGAACGATGGGTATATGCAGAAGGGACATGCGCTGGATGTGGATTGGGTCGAGATTATGGTTGAGCAAGGATTGCAGATGGTAAATTTTGGGCTATAAATTAAAAAAGGAAGCATGATAATGATGAGTTCCTCTTTTTGTTTAATTCTTAATCCAATTTCCCCTTTATTTTCCGTGTCTGTATGCCTTTGTTTATTGGGTGATATCTTTGACAATTTTTGACTTCTCTCTGCTTTCATATATCTGCCTTCCCTACTCTTATTTTGTTGCCCCTCGCAGCATCGAAACCATCCTTTTCACCCTTCCCGTTGTCTTCTGTCAGTGTCAACTAGGCCTCTGCTTAGCTCCCGTTTCTCGTCGTTCAGCTTAATACCCTTTTGTTCTCATTCAGACTTCTTAATCAACTGCAGCGTTGGAGTTTTTGGAATGATTTGTCCCATGGCAAATTCAATACCCTTCTCGTTCATGGATTTATGTTCTCATCCGGACCTGAGCCTCCGACTGTTGTTGGGGCTGTAACTTACTTTCCTGACAGTCTGGGTAGCATCCGCAATATTGGAAACAATATTTCATCATGTCAGAGAATAATTTGCATCGTTTAAATTGCTTCCTAGCCATCATCACGAGATATATAAGTTGATCTCGTTTGAGAATGGAAGCAACCCATATCACCCCATCATGCAACGTTCGAGTTGCTGCTTCATTCCCCCCAATGGAAATTTGTCCCCTTCAGTTCTTGGCGGCAGTTGCGTGGCTCTCCCTGTTGTTGGCGGCAAGGCAGGGTGGAAGCAGTCCTACGCTTTCTAGGATCAATATCTTAGTTACTTTAACTGCTGAATGTGTCCAATGGCTGCGTACGTGTCGAAGGCACCCCATTCATGAGGAGAGAAATAGCAAACATAGCTCTGTCATCCCTGAATTGAAGGCTGTACTCGTTACCAGATAACCGGACATGCTTCTGCAATAGTAACAGGTAACTAGCCGCCCACCCAAGCCTCAGAAAAATTTTCATTGAAATGGGACAAGTACAGCTTTTTCCAAGTTCCGCGTCGAAAGTGATTCATATCCCAGTTCTTTAATGGCCGCACATACTGCTCCGAATGGTGTGGGATTTGGGGTAGTTACAGTATTAGTTAGTTGCCCTGAAGAACTCTTGCAGATGTGTGATCCCGCTACATAGCATCGCCGCAGAGCCTCCCAAGCTCATACCGGCCAATGGCAAGCAACAAATAAGTCTTGACAGCTCAAGCGCTGGCATAGGACATCACATCACAATATCCTTCGGCGCTTAACAGAGTGCCTTGGGGTGATTGGGGGTACGTGATTGGCTGCGGTTTGGATCTTGTTAAGGCTTGTGTGGTATGGTCAGGTACGGTCAGGTACGGTCAATACAGAACCATACACTCCAGGTACGGCGCAGCCCAACCATGGGACTGAGCGGGAGGGGCCCATAGAATCGTGGGTGTGGGGATGGCATAATAAACAAGTTAAAGTCAGGGCACATTAAGGGGTGACTACGGACTACGTATGTTTGCGCTGCACATACGTACATGTGCGTGATTTTATATTCGTTGATAATTTTTTACTCTTTTAATTGCCAGAGCTATTTACATCAGTTCTGGACACAACTGGATCTTGATGCCCAAAAACCCTTTAACGATGTCCAACACAATTGCCCTTGTCGCCCCAGCGACCTAACAGGGCTTCGAGACGGTACGAGCGTGTATGGAGACGCCAATGGGCTGCGGACTACCCCATTTCTGTGGGTCTTGTCATTGCGGCCAAGGGTATTAGCCATACCATCCATACAGCCATACACCCTCCACCTTCAACCTCGCCGGCTTCATCTTCTCCTTCTCCTCCTCCTTCTCCTTTTCTTCTTCTTTCTCCCATCTCCTCTATTTCAGATAAGATATCCTCTTCTTCATGCGAAAGAGAGCGTCTTCCCTATCCAACCGGGTTCACAACTTTTCATTTTGTGTTTTGATATCTCGGAGTCTAATCTCTTCCCCCCCATTCTATTCTCGATCCGCAACCAACCACTTGCCCTGGAGGTCGCATGCTTCATTCCCCACTTCTCTTGCCCCCCCTCCCTTGCGCAAACTTCCCTCACCACCAGCTTTTAAGCGTCAGGGCTACCAGTACAACCAACACAACTACCATACTGCAGCAATCCTCGCTGTGCGCACTGCTAAAAATAACCACCTGACGCTGCTTCCCGAAACTCTCAGATCCAGAGCTTGAAGCATCCATACTTAAAAGTGCTTGGCGGATAGGACAAGGGATGGCCATGAATCGCTATGGCAAGGACAAAAACGACGAAATGTTTCTCACTTCTCCATCTGCCCGTGATCCCCCAACTGTCTCTCCTTTGAGAATTGTTAAACGAGATACCCCTTCCCCCGGCCCAGCTGCTGGCCAAGCTGCCGATAAAACCACTCATCCCTCAACTTTCAGTCTACCTCCGCAGAAACCCCTTCCATATCCCGACAACAGGCCCCGGCCACATCAGGTTCATTCTTTTAACTCTCCGAATCCTAGACCCCCGTATCCTGACGACGGCCCGTCACCCAATATAAAACAATCGCCAAAACCTTCTTCTCCTCTCTATTCTAGCTCAGGGAGGTCAAGTCCCGCTGAAATACCTCGGTCGCTACGATCACGGGAGAGACGAGATTCTAAAGCAGCTACGTCAAGCCTTGCGGAGCGGAGAGGAAAGTCGGTCCCAGAATCGCCGGTGCCGCAGACATCAGATAAAGAAGGCCTGTTTCAAAAACCTCCTCAGCGCGATTCTGCGGGAGACGGCACTACCGCAGGAATGCCGGAACAGAGGAGAAGGACTTCTACGGAAGTAAACCCATTCCCCGACTATCACCAACAACACTGGTCTTCTCCAAACAATCATGCGACTTCTTCATCTTCGAATTTAGCAGCCCCCCAGACAACTCACTCGGTAAATCGTCTGGGTTCTACCGCTTCAACCTCAACTACAAAGGCGCAGCGCGGTTCTCCCCCTCCACCAGAAACACCAATTGTTCCTCCAGGTCTCTCGGATATTGAGTCTCGATACGCTGCAGCAGGAATTGCGGGCACTTCCACTTTGAGTAATATACAAGCTCAAAGTGCTGCTGCACAGCAACGTACCCAACAGTATGCCACTCCTCAGTCGAATCACCATTTGGCACAACCCCAGAACCCAGTTCCAAGGCCCTGGACTCCCACTGAACTTCCAGGAAGTCAGCCACATGGCCCACCAACCGTATATCAAGGTCCTGTTCCCACATCCTCACCTCCTTCACAAGTTTCAGGTGCGGTGAACTATCCGCCACAGGCGAACACTGCTGCTTACCCTCATAATCCACTTGAAGAAGATTTTCAGAGAATGAACATGACTGCTTCTCCTCCTCCAGCATATTCGAGCCTAGGTGGGCCTGGTTATGGCCCCGCGCATGGAAGCTATCCCAATGAAAAGCAGGGCATTACCGCTCCTACTCATCCCGCTTCACTGAACGCGATCACCATTGGTTTTATGACACCTTCCGCCCTGCCGCCGCCTTCCAATACTCCTCCCGTTCCTAATTTACAGCAGGTTCACCCCGCATTTGCAAAGGACCCTAGACTGGTAGATCCTCGCGCATCACAACCAAGTATCCAAAATGGGCATCCTGGTCTTCATCCCACTCCTAGTAACGCATCTCCTGCTCCTACTGGACCCCCACCCGCTTCTCCACCTCCACTTCCCGAAGGCTGGATCGCGCACCTAGATCCCAACTCAGGGCAATACTACTACATTCATCTTCCCACTCAATCAACTCAGTGGGAATTCCCAAAAGGACCTACTCCTCTCAACCTAAATGAGCCAATGTCACCTGGAGTTAGCACGTTCGGCGGACACCCGATCGCATCTCCAGGCCTTTCAGTCTTTGGGCCTAATCCAATGGCTTCACCGTCGCTTTCCACCTTCGGCAATCCACTGGGATCACCCGGTCTCCCAATGACACCTGGATATGAGGGCGGTGTGATGAGTATGAATTCTGGTTTTACTGGTCCCCCACCCGCAAGTGGTGTTGAGCTGTATAAGGTCACACCAACTAATGGTGTCTATTTTGGCCCCTATCTACGCTATACAAACATGGACATGGAACGTGGACTCTGGCTAGGTTCAATCCTATTGGTAACGGATGCACCCCAGCCGCCAACCATCCATATACATCAGAGCGTCGACCTATCTCCCAATCCGCGACAGCTCAAAGCAGCCCCTATTTCAACTCACCAGCGTTGGACGTTTTACAAATACAGCATTGATCTCACTATGGAAGAATACCCTTGCAAATGGACATACGCGATCACATCACACCTCGGATGCACAAGATACGAGTTCCTGGTCGCTGGTCGGAATGAAACGAACTGGCGCTTCATTGCAACCTCCGGAAACGATTTCTCTCTTAACGTGAGCGCAAATGAGAGGGCTCGTCTGGGTGGCGCCGGGTACCTGTGGAAAGATATCATGCAGAAACATACGGATTGCGGCGGGTTTCATGTCCACCTCGGACTTGGAAGCCAGATCAATGCAGACCGGATCTGGAAGGAGATACCTTCTCTCAAGCAGTGGCTTATTATCAGTGGCAAAGAACAGAGGAAAAATGCAGTGTGGACCGCTGCACATGAGGAAGATGTCACTCACGCGTACTTCCATTATTATACAAGTCACTTTGATCAGCCACATATTCGAGAAGCGTTTGCCCAAATTCCCCATATATTGCAGGTTGATGATCATGATATGTAAGTTTTTCATTCCTGGACGAATTCAATAAATTGTCGGGATTTTTCATTCTGAGGTTTGCTTGCTGATATGGCTCCTTTCAGCTTTGACGGATTCGGTTCTTATCCGGACTATATGCAATTCTCAAATATGTTTAAAAACATCGGTAGAGTAGGCATCGAGATGTACCTCCTGTTCCAACATCATGCCACCCAAGAAATCTTGCGACACGTGAACAACGATATAGATCTTTTCAGCATAACTGGAACCGGCTGGCATTTTGTCAAATACCTTGGCCCTGCCATAGCCGTGGTAGGAGCCGATTGCCGTTCTGAAA